TGGGTTTGCAGCCGTGTCACCACCTCGCCTCAGGAGACTGTTGGGTCTGCATGTCCTTATACACAGACTCCAGAAATGGAGGGTGACCAGGTCAATGGAGAGTAGGTTTATTACACTTTGTTTCAGGCACTGTGTTAGCAAGCGTGGTTCTGCGTCAGCCCCGCACTGCAGATCAAGGCTCCATCATCTACCTGCGACCTGATCTTGGAGTGTTTTGTAAAAAGATTTAGTCTGGACCTCAGTCGCCTTATCTAGAATATACACACTAGACTTACCTGACAGAATTCAATGATAAAATGCTGTTACTGATAAAATGCTTTAAAGAACACGTGGCCCACAGTACCAGAAGTGCTTTCACTACTTCTGTCCCCACCAGTGCAGCCTACCGCTGTTATTGTGCCACGCGTGACTCTGACGAGGCTTTCACACGTGATCTACCTTTATGTCAGCCCGCGCCACTTTACACTGATGCAGCTGGTCACTACACTTCAGTGAGGAACATTATACATTACCTTGTTTCAATTTCATGGAACTGTCTTTTCAGATTTTTTTTCAGTCTAAAGTCTGATTCAACAGGTTGAATGTATGGTGCTCAAACAATTTTTGTTGACTGAATGTCTCACAAGAGGGTATTTTTATAAAACACAAACCTCAAATAGCAGTTTATTAGAAACAGATTCTTACCTCTACATATGGACAGGAAAGAATGGGCTCAAGAATGGAAGAGTCATAAAAAAAGAATCTGAGAGGTAAAAATTAATGATAAAAAATGTAATATCAAAAAAAAAGAAATCTCCCTGATAAGGTTTTAAGAATAAGGACAGTCACCAGTCCCTAGGAATTAGAAACCCAGAACTGACTTCATTAATTCAAAAAGTACCTACCATATGGAAAGCAATGCACTAGAATAGGGTCTGTTGGGACAAAAGACAGTCTCTGCCCTCAAAGAAGTAAACACGAGGAAATAAGAAATGGTTGCATCCCCAACCATTTTATTTTTTAAAATTTTGAGATGTGTCTCTCTAAGTCGCTCAGGTTGGCCCTGAACTTGTGGCTATTCTGTCCCAGCCTCCTAAATGAGACTGTCCCTGGCTGAGTAGTGCTTTTTTTTTTTAATGGAAAAAAGATAAAAACAAAATTTCATAGCAAAACAACAGGAGAATAACAATAGTTAATATGTTACATTGTTATCTTTAGTTTTTCAGAATACAAGATATGGGCATTAAAATCTTCAATTGACATAGTAGTGCATATTTTGATTTCAGTACTGGTATCAAACCCAGGGGTGATTTACAACTGAGACACATCCCTGAAACACCCTTGTTTTGAGACAGGGTATCACCAAGTACTTTTGATGGGTCTTGTGATAGATGATGTCTTTTTGGCCTTGAACTCTCTTTGTAGCCCAGGCTGGTCTTGAACTCACAGCAATTCTCCTGCCTCAACCTCCCCAATGCTGGGCTTACAGGCATGCACCACCACAACCTGCCCACGATAGATTATTACTGGCTCCAATTCTTTTCCTCTCCCTATTTGTAATTTGGCATTTATTTCCCACTTTCTGTAGGGGTTCTCTCATCTACCTTCTTGAACTCGGACTTGTCACTATGACTTCAGCCAAAATGTGCTACTGAAATGAGTGTCCATTGCAAACACAGGCCTAGCACTGGGGATATAGCTGAACAGCACAAGTGCCTGACTGGCAAGCACAAGGTCCTGAGTTCGATTCCTAGTACCAAAAGAAAAAAAAAAGTAGGCCTAAAGAGACTGTGTATTTTCATTTGTCTCCAAGAGGACTTAAAAAAGCAGTCACTACACTACAGAGGCCTAGATGATGCCATTAGCCTAAAATCTAATCCCCATAGTAACCCTTAACTTACATCTCATTCACAGCAGTCCTGCTTTCCTATCAAACCCTAGTCCTAAACTTGGTAGCTGGAAGAGGGGTGCTGACATTAACCCTAAAACATGTGGCATTATTTTCAGATCCAGTGGCAGATGGATGTTAGCAGGAGAAAGTGAAAACCTCAAGGACCTCTGGGTGGTGAGGGGCTATCAGTGAAGGATTACCAAAACGGCTCCCAGTGTACTGTGGAATATAGAAATTGTGCCTAACAAACTTGGTTTCACTAAGATCTCCAGATAGCACTGAGGCAAGTGCCACTTGGTTTTTTTTTAAACTTGAAATGGGAGCCATAATAAAAGGAACAAATTATTCTGTTTCCAAAGAAACAGAAGAAAATACAAACACTCGGAACCGTTGTTTCAGCTGTTCTCATACTCAGAAGTGGCTTCCAAGCAAAGATCAAATCCAGAGTGATGAGAGAGTTACAAAAAGATGAGAGTGCCTGGGGCTGGGGATTTAGCTCAGTGGCATAAGCGCCTGCCTTACAAGCAGGCAGTCATGAGTTCGATCTCTGGTACCGATAAAAACGAAAAAGACAAAAAAAAAGATGAGAGTGCCTCTCAGGACATTTCACACAAAGTTCCCTGTGCATCCTAAAAGCATATGTATTAGTCAGCTTTCCCACTGCTGGTACAAAACACCTGATACCCACAATTTAGGGGAGAAAAGGTTTAACTTTGGCCCACCTGGCCCACCATTTCAGACCACCTTCGGCTGGTTCCAAGGCAGGAACATCATGTCGGTAGAACGGTGTGGTGGAGCCAAGCCGCTCACTGCAGGGAAGCAGGGCAGAGGAAGAGCAACAGCGTGACACCTGCCTCCTCCTCCTGTGAAGGAGCCCACCTCCTACCACAAGAGGACGTGCAGACTCATCTGTGGTCATGTGCCTCCATGACCTGGCCATCTCTCCAGGAGCTCCATCCAGTCAAACTGCCCAGATGAACTGGACAGCATCTTAGACATGTTTGTCAGCCTCACAGGGGGGCCAGCATATGAGGACTGTTTCCAGCAAACTCACAGGTGGCTTCTAAATGATGGAGTAGACTCTACATTGATGGGTGAAATCCTTGTTTCAACAAGGGGGTAAGGCTATTATTAGGTCGGGCAGGACTGGTGTAAGAGGCCACTGGGTCCTTGACTGGTTGGCTGTAAACATGTGTTGCCTTTGTGCAAGAGCGAGCGTCAGAGGGCAGGGTCAAGGGTCTGAAATAAACACGACAGAATACAGCTAAGTTCGAGTCAGGGTGTGGCTGACTGAGCTTCACAATTGCTATGGACAAGTGCCTAGCAGACTGAGGCTTTGTTTGATGGTACCAGGGATTGGATTTCGGGCTTTCACACGGAGCTAGATCCCCAGCACTTTCGTTTTTGGAGACAGGTCTAAGTTGCTGAGTTGCCCAGGATGGCCTCAAACCAAACCCATCCTGTTTCAGCCTCTTAAGAGTAACAGGATTACAGGTGTGTGCCACACATTGGCTGACATACGGCTTGTTCTATTTCAATGGCAACACCTAGAATAATTTTATCATGCCTACGAGGTTAGAGTATCTGGGTGAACAAGCCAGAAAATCTTTTGCCTACAGCCTTCGGACTGAGAGGAGGCAAAGAGCAGGCTCATCCACACTTGAACCTGATTTGAGCTCCTAGACACTAGGCTGGTAAGCAGGATATGAACTGGAGGTCTTCAGAGAGACACTAGATCTACTTTGCACATGAGTGATGTGGATTACTGGGGTCAAATGGCAGACCTGAAAAACACGACCGCAACATCTGTCACATTTGTTCACTTTGAAACGAGACTGGGTGGGGAGCTCACATTTCTGGCCTTTCATAGGCAGGCTTGAGCCAAAATAATGGTGCATGACTCAAGAGACCGGGTCATACATAAAAGGCGATGCAGCTCAGGACATGCTTTCTGGACACTCCCAAGGGTTCTAAAGTCATGACTGTGCCAAGAGCTCCACACTGTGAAGAAGCCCACACTAGCCCACAGTCATGGCTCAATCCTGAGGCTACCCACAGACGGGACCCAGCAGGCCCAGCCCTGCACTGGCCCGGCACGCATCTCACCAGCCTGGGTGTGAACCCAAGCACTTGGCTTTACACACTCCTAGTGATGGTTACTTGAAACGTTTCTAGCATAAAACCACCATTTCATTTTTAATTTACCTGAATCAAAAACAAACTACATCAAACAAACATAATGAAATTATACAACTTTTTTTTTTTTTTTTTTTTTTTTTGAGACAGAGACAGGGTTTTTCTATGCAGCTCAGGCCTGACCTCACTACGTAGCTGAGGCTGGTCTTGAACTTGCTGTGATACTCCTGCTTCAGCCTTCCAAGTGCTGGGATTACAGACTTGCACCATACCTGGTTTAAAAAACCTTTCTTTAGGGTAAAGGGAAAAAGAAGGTATTTGCCAGTAATTGGCTTCAGAATGCAATTTAAGCCCTGCACAGTGGTATGTATACTCGTGAGTCTTTGGAAACCGGGGTCGTGAGAAGAGGTAGGAGGGAGGAGGAAAAGGAAGGAATCCGTTTCACTGGTAAGATGCACAACCCTGAAGTAAACTCATACGCATCGACTGCTTTATTTGACAGATTTTAGGGCCTTGTGGGAAAACAGTCCTCCACTTTCCCTCACTCTGAAGTACCCTACCACCACGTACAGCCTTGCCATGGGCTCAAGCCCAGGGCTGATGGGTTATGGACCAGAAATGACCACAGTGAATTAAAACTTTCCTCTCTATAACTTATTATCTATAGTATTTCAATATAGTGACAGAAAATTAACACAATGACCACTTGTTTTAAGGCATTTAGCTATTTACTAAAGATATATCTATATGAATCATACTCATCATCTTTATTAAATATTCATAGATGACTTAATTTCCTTGTGCCAAAAAAAAAAAAAAAACCACTTAATTGAAATTTAAATTAACAAATTGCAGGGGGCCAGGAACACAGCTTGGTGGCACAGTGCCTGCCTGGCAAGCACAAGGTCCTGAGTTCAATTCCCGGTACCAAAAGAAAAATTTAAAAATTAATAAATTGCAGATAAAATCCCAAAAGCAATGAATGTGAGAGCTGTTACATGCTCCTTTACATTTTATTTACCACAAACAATACAATAATACAGGAAATACTAGAGAAAGGCTTTTAGTAACAATGCAAAGCTGAACACTTAAAAATTATGCTTGCTCCCCCCACCCAGCCCAATTCAACATGCAGGTATTGTTTATTTTCATATAAGCAAATTCGACAGCATCACAGTCTCGTATGAGTTTTACAAGAATATCTTTGCCTTGTAACTTAAAGTTCCCAAACTGCACACAATCATGGCATAATACCATCATTCACAGTATCCCCAGTGTGGTCTACATTTACATGATCCTAACGCTAACATCTGTGTTTTTCTTAAACAGCACAGTAAGTTAAACCACAAAAACCCAGAACTTGTTTTAAATGCATTTATGAAGACTGCTGCTGAGCTCAAAGCATGCAGGTATTTCACAATCACCTAGATGAAGCTGGATAGTGAAACTCCTTCATGATGTCCAATGATGTACTTTTTCACTCATCCCAAGTATCTCCATATTTGTTTACTTTGACTAGGAAAAAAAGCACAAATAATTGATGATTTCAAACAGTAACGAGAAAAAGACACTACCTTACATTGGTGGTTGTTATGATGAAAAGTTCTCTCTCATTTGAATAAAGCATGAGAATCCCCATTATAAAAGGAACCGACTAGACTTTTGTGAACTAGAGATTCTTTAGAACTACAAATACCCTATATTTTTACAGTAAAAACTGATCCTTGTAAACAACCTTATAAAGTAAACACAATCCCATTGTTAAGGGTCAGAAAACAGGTTAGTAACTTGCCCAAGGTGCAAGGCCTTAACAAGTACCACTGAGATTTGCAACATGTCAGGTTAGGGCCTTTACCAATACCAAAGTGTGGTGTACTATCACATATAATTTTCTTTACAACAAACACCATCAGTAACATGGTTAAGTCTTCAAGTTGGGGTTAATTCAATCTAATCTCCCAGGAGCTGTCATACAAGTAAATAGTTTCTAATATTCCTGTATTTTAAATGAAATTAAAACATGACTTTTATCTTTTCTATTTTTTTTTAGCTTCTCTTCTACATGGTGTCCATCTGTGGGAATTATAACGCTTCAGAAGACTCAAGTAATCGTAACAGTACAAAAGAGTAATTGTCACAGTATGGTCTTTTCAGGCAATCTATGAAGTCAAAATTATTTCATTACTGAAATAAGACATCATCTATCCCTGTTCCTTCATATTTTGCTTATTCTACTTTGTTCTCATTACCTAATGATTATGACAGTTTTCTAGAAAGCTATATGATGTGGTAGAATGGCTCTGACAGTTACAGAAAATGTGTTGTTAAAATTGCTAAGTCTTGATTTTTAATTAGATAAACAACAATAAATATAATCCACATCAAGTAAAACTGAAAACTTTGACATTTTCAGACCCTGGGACTAAGAACATTATTTAAAAAAAAAAAAAAAAAAAAATCCCTGAAACTATTTCCTAACAGGTCTTTTGGCCAGGCATGGTGACACATGCCTGTAATCCCTGCATTTAGGAGGCTGAGGCAGGAGGATTGCTACAAGTTCAAAGTGCTATGGGGTACAAAGTGAGTTCAAGACCAGCCTGAGACCTTGTCTCAAAAAGACAAAATAAGGGGGCTGGGGATTTAGCTCAGCAGCATAAGTGCCTGCCCAGCAAGTGCGAGGTCATGAGTTTAATCCCTGGTACCAAAAAAAAAAAAGACAAAACAAAAGCCACAAAAAATGTTTTTCTTTTTACAAAGAAAAAAAGTTGTTTTATAAGCACTTCAAGATGTCACAGTTAAAAACACAACTGTCAAAATCTACCTAATGCTAGAGAGCCAACATATTTCATTTTCTTATCCTCTATTACTACATAAGGCCAACCAAAGTACTCTTTTCTGATATAACAGTGTAAGGTACCATGCTGTGCGAACTTACTAGAAAAAAATGACAAAAGTGAGAAACACACCACACTTCCTGCCCTCGTGGAGCTTACAGTCTAAATTCTCTAATAAGCAAAGTAAAGTACCAATTAGTCCTGGCATATTACAGAGTAATGGCCACTGTATGCACAAAGTTTGTGCTAAGAGTTAGTGATAAACATCAAATACTATACACATTACAACTGTATATTAATGTTAATTTTTTACATCAAAATTATGGTGTATACATTATCAGTTATAAAAATAATTCTATATGAAGCATCCATTAACAATTAGAAATAAAACTAGCTCTATAAAAGATCATAACAAACAGTAATGATTTTCACGTATTTTTGTAATAATTACCAAAGACCTATTTCTTACTTTTTTTGAATGTGTGGTGGTAGGCACTGAATTTATGGCAAGTATTCTACAACGGGGCTACAGTTTAAGCTTAACTTTTAAAATAAATAGAAAAGGGCTGGGGATATAATGGACTCTGGAACACTTCTTAAAATTGAGAGACCCAACCAGGCATGGTGGCACACCCATGTAATCCCAGCAATCTGAAAAGCAAAGCCAACAGGATCACAAATTCGAGCCCAGCCTGGGCAATTTAACAACTTATCAAGACCTTGTCTCAAAATTAAAAATCTAGCTGGGACTGGTGGTGCACATCTGTAATCCCAGCACTTGGGAGGCCAAGGCAGGAGGATCACCGCAAGTTCGAGACCAGCCTGGGCTACAAAGTGAGCTAAAGGCCAGCCTGAACTGCATAGTGAGACCTAGTTTTTAAAAGACAAATTTTAAAAGAGGCTGGCGGTATAGTTCAGTACCAAGGACTTTGGTTATATCCCTAGTACCACAAAAAAGGAAAGAGCTAGTAATTGTGAAATAATTATTCTTTAAAAAATTTATTTTGGCTAATTGCTTGAAGAATTAAATCATGTTAGTGTAATTAATGTTTTAAACTAATGCTTCAGTTTCTAACCCTAGAGTTACATGATTCAGACTAAACTATCATACCTTCTTTTTTTGGCACTGTTTCCTGCATAGGCCTGACTGAGGGGCCAGTCTTTTGTGTTAAAGTTACTTCATATGACTCTCTGTTCTTTTGTCTTAATTCCTCATAGGTAATGTTTTTTCTTTTGGGGCTTTCTTCAAGGTTGGGATCAGGTCCTAAAACAACAAACAGTTAATAAATGGCAATAAAAGGATGTGGATAAACCCAAAGCAACTGAATTTTATAAATGAATATATACACAGAGCAGAATAAAGTTAAAATAAAAGGTCAAATTATTAGCACCATTTAAAGGTACTATACTTTCTCAAGGTAATTATAAAAGAAAACCTACTCCCCTTTCTACTTTTAAGATTTTATTTCTAAAACCTAAAATCAATATCAAAATTTTAAACCTAAACCCTAGCCAGAAAAAGAATGGTTATCGTAATATGTAACCAAATAATGTAAGCTCCTTAAAATCCTACTGTTTTAAACTGGGTTATTCATACTGTGTTTGAGATTAAAGAAAACACTTCAGCAGCAAATACACTAAAATTCAAATTAAAGAGAAGTACTGTACTGGTGAAAGTGAACCACACTTGACACTGTAAGTTTTATTATTTCCACAATTAAATGTTCTAGTAAGAGTCTATACACAACACTAGTTATGTTTTAAAAATTACTTTGCCATCTATATATTTAAACACAAGTACTTGAAAACATCTATTGAAAAGTCTGAGCCATATCCTTAACCCAGAGTAGCCACTGTTTTGCTCTGGTCTTGATGTAATAATATAATATAATAACAATAATAATGAAAAAAAGTAACAAGTGTTCAGCCTAGAAACCTGCATTTATTCTTTATCTTTCCCAAAGAAAGCCAAAGTATGAACAATATCTATTGTCAAAGAGTCAGACCCTGACAAAACACAAAGAAGTTGTTACTCTTTTGTACTGTCAGGATTAAAAACTGAACACAGTGTGTAAAATGTACAAATTGCAAAAAAGCACATTTAAGCATTTTTAAAGATTAACTAATGCTAACATAACATTCAGTGAATATTTTAAAAGTCTTATACACCATACCAATAGCACTTTTCAATGAGAAAAAAGGCTTATCTCTTCTCTTTAACAGCCTGAGAGTCAAAATACATTTTAAAAAGATTTTATAAAAAGTTCATATTTTGGAATCAATGGTTAGGTTCCATGGAATAACTAGAATTTTTCAAGCAACATAAGTATACATTAACATGTTTTCTACTTCAATGTTTTCTTTTGGTAAACGGATACTTTACCTATATAAATCAAAGAGGGTTTAAATTTCTAGTCAGTTCTAATAAACTATGGCTAAAAAATGTAAAGAAAAATATTATAATCTCACAATGGGTTTAAAACATCTTGTACTGGGCCAGGGATTTAGCTCAGCAACATAACTGCCTGCCTCACAAATGTGAAGTCATGAGTTTGATCCCCAGTACCCCCCCAAAATAAACAAAACTTTGCACTGCATTACTAATTAGTACTTACTAAATTCTCTTCACCATAAATGATATTATTAAAGTTTTGAAGCACTTAGAACACAGTTATCATTTTCGTTCTGTCGGTAACTAACCAACATCCTTGGGCAAATCACTAAACTCCTTTCATTCCTGGTTTTCCCAATTGTGAAATAGAACAGTTTGATTACATGACCTCTAGGAGTTCCTTCCAGGTCTAATATTTTTTCTTCAAAAAGATAAATACTGTATTATTCTGAAGTTCTATGTCAAATGACAACATTGACAGTAAGATTGGAGGAACTTTTCTCCATTATGAAAATATCCTGCATTGTGTAGAGAATGTAATTTACTGCTTTGGGAAGGTTTAAAGAGCTGGAAGGAATAAGAAAATAAAAAACAGCATTGTTTAAATCTAGCGGTAATAAACTGTAAGTCTTCTAACAGCCATGATGGAGTGGGGCCTTCTGTTTTGAAAAGATTAGTTAACTCTTTGGATTCCTGGTAAAAAACAGAATTAAAGGGGAAAAACAATTTAAACAAGAGGAGAAGATGCCTTGATAAGGACATCAGTGGGGCAAAGGGAAGGAAACCACTGCTAGTCCATATGGCAAGCAGTGAAAAGAGCGCAAAACTGATTTGGAGAAGGGGCCAGAGCAGGTCATTGGGCACAGGGATGACGGCTGTGGAGGGCATAAAAAAGAACTGAAATATGGGCCTTAGAGTGATCCATGGGTAGGTAACAAAGGATTTTCATTTACTTTTATGTGGGAAAGAAACGATACAACATGACATTTTCTAATGCGGATGGCCACAGGATTACAAGACACTACAGAGGAAGGGGTGGTGCATGACTAGAATGTAGATGGATGGATCTGAGTATGAGAAGAGAAAATCAGACACAGTGAAGTCGGGGTCAGCTGCCTTGGGAGACGAGACTCCGTTAAGCACTCTTCTCAAATCTTTCTTCCTACTCTAATCTGATGATGTCTTTGCTTTCAATCATAAGAGGGGAGCTGAGCATGAAAAGCCTCTCAACAACTTTTATCCACATTGTAAAGTGTCCTCAATTATCTATATATCCATTCTTCTGTTTCTTGTTTTACACAAGGTTAATAATCACCTTGCTGCCTGACTTTCATGTAATGTAGCTCAGGCCAACAAAACCTTCTGCAGTAAAAATGTTCTAAATTACACTGTCCTATATAAGAGCCACTAGCACATGTGACTACTGAGCAGTTAAAATGCTTTCAACAGAACTAAGGAAATAGGCTTTTTTGTGAATTTTTTTCTTTGTTTTTGGTCTTTTTTGAGATAGGGTTGTAGTATGCAACCTGTAGTTTAGGCTGGCCTTAAGCTCTTTGTAGCCCAGGATGGTGTCAAACTCACAACAATCCTCCTGCTTGAGTCTCCCAAGTGCTGGGATGACAGGTGTGGTCCATGCCCAGCTGTATTTTCTTTCTTTTCTTTTTTTCTTTCTTTTTTTTGGTACCAGGGATCAAATTCATGACCTTGCACTTGCCAAGCAGGCGCTTAGGCCACTGAGCTAAATCCCCCCACCCTGCTGTGCTTTCTTTTAATTATAAATGTACATAACCACATGCGGCTAACAGATACTTTATAGTCTGACCTTTTTGCATCTTCTGGTATCTTCCTTGACCAACAATTGATTTTTCCCTTTTTCTTTAACCGACATACAAATTCAAGTCTCCCATTTTAAACAAATAAAAACTGCCAAATCCTAATTGTTTCTTTAGCCCTATTTGCTCCCTATTACAAGCTTACTGAATTCATTTTGAAGCAAGTTTTTTTTTTCAAAGAGTACGCTACAGGGACCTCTAATCCTTGAACTGGCAGTAAGCAAACATATTAACGGTTCTACCACAAAATACAGGGGAAAAAACCATTTTAAGAGAAGTATATACAGGCTGTATTTATATGACTTATGCTAGTTTAGGTCAGAATGTGCTACCAAATGAATTCAGGTCAGCTTTATTTTTCTAGCAATGCTGAGGATTAAACCCAGAGCCTCATACGTGCTACACATGTACTCTACTACTAAACTGTACTTCAGCTCACAGATCAGATTTCACTTAAAAGTAAAACAAAAAATAGCTTTGTGGATCTCTGGATTTTAGACAAAGGAGACATTGGCATGTACTTCCTGTTTCTAATTCTCCACTTTTCACTGCAGACCAGACTGAAAGAAAAAAGGAAACTAACATTTGTTGAGAATTTATTTGCCAGAACTGCCACTGAGTATTTCATCTGATTTCAATAGTTCTTCAACAAAGATGTACTGTTATCTATGTTCAAGAGATCAAGAAATTGAAGGGAGTATAAATTAGTTACTTGTCATGACTGTAATTATAAGGGCACACAGCTAGCAAATATCAGTCATTCAAGTCCAGGCCTTAATCCAAAGTTGATGTGATTTCCCTGACATGTGAGGTATTCAAAGTTAAGTATTTACACCAACTTCACATGCATTTTCACATGGATTTTCTCACCTGACAACAGTTTTGTAAGGCAGGAAATTATTCTTCTTATATTACAGATAAGAAAGCTGAAAGCCTTTAAGACTAGCTTATCAAACCTGAGCCTTCTTGAAGTCTCTACTTCTGGAAACACAATTTACCACTTCTTCACTATTTCACTAAACTTGTGTGGGTATTTTTGATTACTGGCACCTATCAGTATTTATTCTTGTATTTCTGGATCTTCTAAGAAGACAGTTTCTCAAAGACAAGAACTTCATCTTTACTTCTTCCATATCTATTGGGACCTACGGTCCTCAAGGAATGCTGAATGAATGAAGAAACAAAGGAAAGACACAAACATGCTGATTCAGGTTGACAGATGAGTATGGTTGATGGTTGATGGTGCACATACAGGTGACATCCAGCAGAAAAGTTCATCAAATAAAGTTTATACATACGTTGGACCATAAAATGTTGAAATTCATTTCAAGAGAAGTTTCTACCTTGGGCAATATGATCAGAAATACCAGTGGGAGCAGATTCATTCACAGAAGCACTGAACGGAATTGGCTCATAATGAGGAAGCATCTCCTTTTCTATGTTGTCTGCTGCAGGGGAGGTCACAAAAGAGGACTGACCACTCACATTGGAGTCATATTTTGACTTTTGAGAATAGTGCCTGTAGAAGAACATAACATTGTATAAGAAAATGAGTTACTACCTATGCCTCAAAGATGTGTTAAGGTATAAAAACACTTTATTGTGTTTCTAAGATAATCGTAAGTTTAACATAGGTATTTACCAGCAAAAAATAAGTGTTTCTATCATAAAAAGGCATCTTGACTCTATTAACTTATAAATTGTTGATAGAGGGAAAAAGAAAATATTCAATTTTCTAAATATTGGGCTTTGAAGGCAATTTTAACTTAGTACAAAGAACTCAAAAGATTTCAAACTTTATGAATCCAATAATATGTTGACCAAAATATTATGCAAAATACTTGTATTAATGTATACCAGAAATTATAATACTAGTCACTTCTAAAATTATATAATCAAAAATTATGATCAGGGCACACTGGGCTACTCAGGAGGCTGCTAAGTTAGAGGCTAGCCTGAACAATTTATAGATTCCCTGTCTCGAAAAACAAACGATCTATAGGGATATAACTCAGTGCCAAGGTCCTGGGTCTAATCTCAGTATGGGAGTGAGACGACGGAGTTAAACCATGATTCACAGGATGAAGGCAAATTAGCAAAACAAGTAAGAATGCACCGTATGTCAGAGAAAACAGGTATTTCCTGTTCATTTTCCTATTTTCAAAACTGAAAACAATGAAAAGTTGACATCTGTTAAGAAATGGAATTTATAAAATTTGGAGCTACAAAAATAAGTTAAAAAAAAAACAGCAAGCCAAAAGTTTTTGCCAAATTTAATCAAGATAAAACCCTTTATTCTGGGACACGTACTCTCAACTGGATGAAAATCCATATTCAAAACAGCAGTAGTCAAGTTTTGGTCTACTTTTTAAAGCAAATTACTTATAGGAAAAAGTAAGTTTCCAAAGGCTTGAGCACTGAATTATATCGTTGTTGATTTTCCTAAAATTAAAAACTCTGAGGATCAGAATCTGACCTACCCAGATGGTGAAGATCGTCGTGCTTGTCCTGATCGTAAAGCTTCTCCAAGAGGGGAATTTTCGAGATTCTTGAACTTTTCTTGGCAAGTTCTCACATAAGAAAGTTTTCCAGCAAAGTATCCCATGATACAAGCAACTTATTCATAAAATCAAATAAAAAGTATTACTGAATATTTGAAAAAATACATTATCTTAAATATTTTATCTTTGATTTAGAAAGACTTGAGATTTTCTGAAATAATGACAAAAGGTTCTCATTTAATCAAACTCAAAGAGTTCAGAGAAAGATTCTATGGACATAATTCAGTATTCCTAAATAAACCAAAATAAAGTAGTTATAAAGTAGTTGTAATTCTTTTTTTTTTTTTTTTTTTTTTCTTTTTCCTTTTTTATCGGTACCAGGGATCGAACCCACGACTGCCTGCTTGCAAGGCAGGCGCTTATGCCGCTGAGCTAAATCCCTAGCCCCCAGTAGTTGTAACTCTAATATACGCTTAATACGAATAGGACAGACATGGAAAAGGTATGATGGAAAGAAGAGTAGATAAGGAATAACATCAAAAGTTCTAGCCCAGTTAGCAGGGATTCAAGCCATTTTTCTTATAAAATGGCAATAATATTATTTACTCAGCCAGGGATTTAGCTCAGCAGCATAAGTGCCTGCCTGGCAAGCACGAGGTCGAGTTCAATCCCCGGCACCAAAGGAAAAAAATTATTTACTCAGTCAATCACAAGAGTACTTTAAAAAAATGAAATTAGGTACACCGAATCGCTTACAATAATGAATTACAAAGTGTAACTTAAATGTTTACCTGTGAAACCTATTCCTAATACAAAAGAGGCTAACCTGAAAAGATTCATGAAAAGCCTCAGGTACTTTTTAAGAGTAACTTCTTTTTGTAAGCCACACCGTAAATGTAAATTAAAAACTTTTTAAAAAAAGTTTAATTCTAAATATATTTATTTAGATTAATCAAAATATGTGCACAATCTTCTTTCCTTATAAGACAAGAATTTCAAATTTTATGTATTTAAAAATAATTTCAAATTGTTTTATTGTAAAGGAAAAAGTCTTCCGAATAACTCATTTTGACACTAGAAAAAAAATATCCAACTAATCCATTCAATGAAAACTTTACACTGAGCTTTCAGTACAAAATTATGAGTAATCTGAGTACTCATAACTAATATGTCAATACATTTGATAAAAATTAATGATCTTACTTAGATAAAAATGCTAACACAAAATACAGTATTGTTCATACTTACATATAAGTTTAGGGATGGAACCAAATCTGGGATGACTTGAAAGAATTCCTACAGAATAAAAAGTTAAGCATTTCTGAGTAACACTGCTAGAAGAAAAAATCAGTTCAGACTACCTTTACATATTAGTTCTTTTTATGAGTCCAGACAACTCTGGCTGTTTAAGAAAGAGAATCACCCAAATTTAGTATCAACAGATATAGGAAAAAAATCCAAAGGACAGATACATGAATAGTGGATCTCTTGATACAAAGTCAACAATAACCACAACAAAAAAGAACCGTTTCTACATACCAAGAGAGGAAAAAAAAAAAAAAAAAAAAAAAAAAAATATATATATATATATATATACACACACACCATAAAAGATACAATTTATTGTAACATCAAAACCACCTAAGACCTGGGAACAAATGTAATTAAAGATATGAAAATCTTTATATTAAAAGCCACAAAACTTGCTAGTAAAAGCCAAAGAAGAAACATACAATGCCCAAGAACTAAATAGTGAGAAGAAAGATGTCAGTTCTCCAGAAAATAATCTATAAACTCAAAGCACCAATTAAAATCAAAGCAAGGGTTTTTTTTTGGCGGTACTGGGGATTGAACTCACAACCTCGCACTTGCCAGGCAAGCACTTATGCCGCTGAGCTAAATCCCCAGCCGTAAGCAAGGTTTTGTTTATACTAAAAATCATGTGCAAACACAAAGGATCACAGTAGTAGTGAACAAAACTGAAGTAGACATCAAGACCTAGGATAAAGCTTTAGTAATTAAGACAGTCTGGTATAAGTGCAAGAATATGTAAACTGACTCATACTAGAAAAGACCAGAAATAGACCTACATGTATGTTGTTACTTGACATATGCAGTAAATAAAAAATAGTCCTTTCAAATTATACAGCAGTCAATTACATATCTGTAAGAGGAGAAAATGTATCTTTTTTTCGTTTTTTTTTTTTTTTTTTTTTTTTTTGTCTTTTTCGTTTTTTTTACCGGTACCAGGAATCGAACTCACGACTGCCTGCTTGCAAGGCAGGTGCTTATGCCACTGAGCTAAATCCCCAGCCCCAAGAAAATGTATCTTCTAGCCCATAGTCTATTCAAAAATAATTCCAGCTACCAGGACACTCTTCTTATATTTATGGAGTCGACAGTCTTAGAGAGGGAATTGAAATAAATAGAATTCATCATAATTGCTATTCACCCAAATATTTGAGTATCTACTACATATGTGCATATGTTTTGTGGTCTGGGTAAACGATTTGGGGATGACAATGTACAATGAGTATATGACTGTTGCCCCCTGATTCACGTTTTGAAATTTTGTTTTAGTTTTTTTTTTCCTTGAAATAAAATGGATCTTAAAAAAAGTTAACCACGGCTGGGGATTTAGCTCAGTGGCTCAAGCATCTGCCTGGTAAATGCAAGGTCGTGAGTTCAATCCCCTGCATCCACCCCCAAAAGTTAACACATATTAAAGTAAAATAGCAAAACAAACAAACAAATAAAAGTATTTTGTACCAGCAATGGAAAAGTGACTAATTAAGCTCTTATGGAACTAGAGCCCTTATTATTAAAGATGAAAGTAGACAAATTTGGGCTGAGAGCATAGCTTTATGGTATACAGTATGGATTTAATCTCTAGTACCATACCCCGCCCTCCAAAAAAGGTAGAGACTGAAAACTAAAATCCAAAGCAGAACTCCAAACACCAGTATATCTAATACAAGCAAAGAAAAAATAAATGAAGATCTAAGCTACGAGGTCATGGATTTGTCTTTAGTGCGATAAACTGCAAACCATGTGTCATACATATCACATACTCCAAAAACATGGGAAGAATGGAAGCTTTGCCAGAAGTAGGAGGGAAACTCTAGGACTACACAATTGTAAATGTGAAATGAAAAGAATGATTCAACAATTGGTAAGGGATGGGGCACCAACAAGGGAAACGCTGATTAAAAGCTGGGCATGGTGGTGCATCCGTGCAATTCCACTACTGCGAAGGCTGAGACAGAAGGATCACAGGTTCAAGGCCGGCCTGGGCAACTTAACAACAAGACATTACCTCAAAACAAAAACAGAACGGGCTAGGAAAGTAGCTCAGTACTTCTCAGCCCAATCCCCAGAAGGGAGAGAAGGAGGGAGGGGAAAAAAGAAATGGTTAAGGTTATATAATGTTGGTCAAGAACAAAAACTGCGCTGGGCGTGGTGGCTCACGCCTGTAATCCCAGCACACAGGAGGCTGAGGTGGGAGGATTGTTGGGAGATTGAGACCAGCCTGGGCTACAAAGTGAGCTCAAGGCCTGCCCAAACTGCATAGGGAGACCCCGTCTCAAAGAAGACAAAAAAAAAAACTGCATCAATTTTAAGCAACAAGGATGTTGTGTTAGTAATCTTTAAGAAGTTTCAACAGCTGGAGATTTAGCTTAGTGGCCTAAGCACCTGCCTGGCAAGTGCGAACTTGTGAGTTCAATCCCTGGTACCAGAGGAAAAAAAAAGAAGTTTCAATAAATGAAAAAATTCATGGATAATCTATGACAGAGGGGGTTAAAAGAAGACTTCCTTTATGAAGTCTGGCTTTAAAATTGAGGCAGAGGCTGGGGATTTAACCCAGCGGCATAAGCACCTGCCTTGCAAACATGCAGACATAAGTTCAATCCCTGGAACAAAAAAAACAATAAAATAAAATAAGAGGCAGAGGCAGCTGGAAAGACATGTAAAAAAGGGTTTTCTATTTTCAATGTTCTCTGTTCTTTTTTTTTTTTTTTTGTCTTTTTCGTTTTTATCGGTACCAGGGATGGAACTCACGACTGCCTGCTTACAAAGCGGGCGCTTACGCGGCTGAACTAAATCCCCAGCTCCTCTCTGTTCTTTTTTGATAAATCAAGAATAGGTAACAGCTAAGACCATGTTGAGCATGACTCACTACAGATAAACACAAAATGCCAGGCATCTGGATGAAATGCAACATGTCTTGGTGGATTCTCAATTCTTTTCCTCAAGTCTCTAGCTTCTACTTTATTGCCAGGTTGTCCAAAACCTTTAACTTCATGTAAATCCCAAAACTCTAAAACTTTCCCTCTTTCATGTTCCTTTTTTAGATTATAATTTTTCCTAGTTCAATCTTAGCTGTTCTGGGCTTTTCACTCCTTGTATGATTTTGTCCGTCTCCTCAGTGCCTCCCCAAACAGTCATGCTTTTGTCATAATCACCACATCCCTCCTCCTGAAATACCCCTCCTTTTCTTTTTAACCTAAATCCTGTGCATCCTTCAAAAATCTACTCTTCTCAAAAAACACCCCTTTTAAAAATTTTATTAATACATGTTTGCAGTTCAACGATTACACTTATCGTGTGCAATTGGTACATGTATGTAACACATTTGATTCTTTTTACATCCTTAATTATACCAATCCCATAGAGACTTTTCCTCTTTAAAAGATCTTTAACCACAACTCTGAATATTTTACAATTCAGGAGTTTATTATTTAAGTTTTCCATCATCTCTAGTGTGTTCACACTGACTAGCAGCTCCTAAATTTCTTTTGTAACCCCCCACACCTAGAGCTAAACATTAGTAAATGACAAAATTATGATACAAAAAGGTTACAACAATGATGAACACTACAGTTTCTCTATTGTGTCAATTTTTTCGACAAAGTAATGTGATTTAAAGTTTTGTTCACAATATGGGTCAAATCTCATCTATAAAACATCTCAGTTGTAAAAGACACATAAGTACACGTATATCTTGAGTTCTTTCCATGCTTTAAGATCACCTCTTCTGGAATATCTTCCCAGATAAAGGATACACTAGACAGCATAGCTGAGTACATGTACTGAGCACTGCCTGAACCACCAAATTTTAAGATACAGAAACTGGTAATACTTAACTCACATGAATATGCTGTACTATTGAAACCATTAAAATTTAGGACAAGAAAATCTCTTTGGAGACTTAATAAAAAAATAGAAACGTGCTGGTTGCCTGAGATTCTAATTGTTTTTGTAAATGTTAACTCTTCCTCACCCTCAGCCCCCAGGTGATACTGGTTTAGGAACTGTCAGTCTTCACACTGAGGTACAGGGCCTTCACACAAAGGTGTGCTCCAGTCCCCTTTTAAAAAATTAATTAACCAGACGTGACACAGGCTGACATGATAACTGAAGTAGGGAAGCAGCCTGCGTGTGTGGTCTGACTGACTTGGCACACCTGGGGCCCGTGGTCTGAGTAACTATTTAGAAGATAGCAATATGCAATAGTTGACTGTGGATTTCCGATTGTCCTATCGCTGTTTTTATTTCATTGTACTATTGTTTTACTCCCTTTAAAATTAAAAAATGAAAACATTTTTAAATGAATACATGCACTTTGGGGAGTTGATATTGCATTTTAACCCTTTTTCCTTGCCCTTCTCCTCCTCTCCTTCCATCTCAAGATCCCCTTCCCATTTATCTGCAAAAGATCCACCTCCTTGTTTCCTCTTTTATTTTTTACCTTAAATTATGCTTTGGGTTTCTCGTGTAAGAGAAGCCGTACACTATTTAAGCCTGTGTATTTCCTTCACCAAGCTCCAGGCTCTCAAGGTGTATCTATTTTCCTACAAATGACTCAAATTTACCCTTTAGGGCTGAGTAGTACTCCACTGCATGTACACACCCCTGTTACATTTATCCATTCATTTGCTGAAAGATATATAGGTTGCTTCTAAGATTTAGCTATTATAAGCTGTAGACCTATAAACATGGATATGCATGCATCACTATAATACGATGCCTTTAACTCTTTAAGGAAAAAACTTAGAAGGGGAATAGCTGAGAAACTGGAATTTCTAATTTTAGTTTTTTGAGGAATTACTTTACTGATTTCCATATTGGTTGTACTAGTTTATACTTCAACAGTGTAGAAGAGTTTCTTTTTCCCCATAGCCTTGGTAGCATTTGTTATTTGAGTTTTTGAGAATTTTATTATTTTTAATCAAGGATAATGTCTCACATTAAATTGTCCAGGCAGGAGGACTTTGAACTTGTTATCCACCTGCTCTAGTTCCCAGAGTGCTGGAATTACGGGCATACACTACTCTACCTGGAACTACTGGACTTTAAACCAATGCCTAACAATCCCCTGAGTCTGTTAAAACAGATTCCAGAGCTTTACCTCAGAGATTCTGACTAACTAGGTCTGGAATGAGGTTCATGAATTTGCATTTCTAACAAAGTCAGAGTGTAGCTGCTGAGTCACCCACATACACTAGCTTTGTTGCTGAACCTGCAAACCATCCACAAGTTTGGCTTAGTTTTTTGGGTTTTTTTGTTTTTGTTTCTGTTTTCTTGCTTTTGCAGATTATTAATGATGTTCTGTGTAGGACAGCAACAAATTTCAAATCAAGATAATCAATTGGTGATTCCACACAGACATATCTTTTCTAATACTGAAGAAATTCACCAATGATCACACTTAGTAAGATAATCATCTTTCCTTAAGAGTCACAAAAATAAACATAACATCTAAAAAACTAAATTCAAAGTTTAAATATTTACCTTTACTAATTAGTCCTTGAGTAATCAACATACTTGTGGCAGCCAAAGGCACAGCTATAGGAAAAAAAGACTTGTCAATATTAACCAAAGGAAAGTATTTTATCAAGTTCAGTAGGGAAGTAATATCATTAAAACCATCTAGGAATAAATTTTATAACTAAAAGAGGTTATTTTAAAAGCTGTACTGTATACACAGATGGTTAAAAAGTTAAAGCATTTTAAATTAAAAGCATTACAAAATAGTAAACAACGTAATTCAAGAACCACCTAGACTTATGTTCCAAAAGAAGTAATAATCATTAAGACAACATTGACTAAAAGCTACTTCTTAAGTTAAATAGAGGGAAAAAAAGAAAGCAGGAGAAGCTAGAAGCAAATTACAAATAAGCTACTAGTGAGTAATGACTAACTTCCATGCAGCATGCTAAATGCATTAGTGCACTGTCTTATTTACTTTATATCACAATATTTACAAGGTAGATAATATTATCACCATCTTAAAGATAAGGGTACTGAAGCTTAGAGATGTTAAGAAACTTGCTCAAGGCCATATAGCTGGTTCAATGGCAGGTCTCAGAATCTAATGAAATCTAATACCAGATCTCAAGTTTTTAAACTCTGTATTACACTGACCCAAAATACATTTGATCATAATCATATGGTGCCAGAGCGGGCGGGCGGGGGAGGGGGGATGATAAAAAAGTCTTGTGTTAAACATTTCTTAAAACTACATGAAAAGGGCCAAGGATTTAGCTCAGTGGCATAAGTGCCTGCCTGACAAGTGCAAGATTGTGAGTTTGATTCCCAACACTAAAAACAAACAAAAAAACTACATGAAAATACTGTGTGTACAACTATTAAAACAGGTATAAAAATCCAAAGCTGTCATCTCAACTTCAAAAAGACTTACAACTTAAAAACAGCTATGAATCACTCTTCTCTACACAAGCAATAACAATTTTCTACAAGGATGGGAGTTGCTAATTAGCTGACTAGTACAGTTCCCTACATTGATAGAAGTGGCTCACTATGCCTACCCTGTTTATACAAACACAATTCACACTCAATACCTGCTTTTTATCTGGGAGTCTGGTATTTAGGTACTTAGTAGGTTGAAAAGGACCAGTTCTCAATAAAAATATTCTTGACAATGAGTTTCTAACCAAGTTCCACAAGATAACATTTAATAAGAGTTGTTACTGCACGGCAAATTAAAAATATCCTTTGTGTAGGGCTCCATTGGGAGAAGTCCCTTAGAAGCTTGTGCCTGGCTTCCTCTGGACTTCACCCAATGCTCCTTTTCTCGATTATGCTTTATATTCTTTCATTGTAAATTAAATAACTACATGTGGCCAGTGGTTACCATAGTGAACAATGCTGTTCTAACCAGGGGTTGACAATCTGCTCTGTAAAAAGCCAGATGATAAATATTGGGGTTTTGTGGTCTATTCATAGTCTTTATCCTAACTACTCAACTGTTTTATGGCAAAAGCATTCATAGACAATACACAAACTCATGAACACAGCTGTGTTCCAATAAAATTTGATTTATGGATGCAAAAATGTTAATGTTACATAATTTGTACATGCAATGAAACAATCTTCCTTTCTTTTTCCTTAATCACTTCAAAATATAAAAACCATTTTGTTAGTTCACTACATACAAAAAAGATTGGATCCATGGTCTGTAGTTTGCTCAACTCTGGTTTAAATTATACATGGGCAATTTAAGCACTGAAATAATCAAGACATTTGAATTGTTAGAGAAACTTTATCATTAAAATCCATGAACTCTACAATAGGGCTCCACCACAGGCGCAATGGGTAGAAGCCCTAAGGTTCGACTCCTTACTATTCTACTTCTGTTCTACTAATAGATTTTACCACATTGGAAAAATGGTTTCTGTAATGCTGGCTGGTTAGATGCCTTCATGTATTATGATTTAAGGGTTTTCAAAGGACAAATCTCTTTTAAATTATAGCGTAAGTTCAGCTTGGTTCAAGGATTACAATATGTAGCACTGAAGAATTATAAGGATAAAAGGTGCTGAGTTAGCCATCTCTACATTGGACCACGCTTCTTCAGTTAATGCAAAGACTACTAGGCAATCAGGTTAAGGAGATTCTAGTACTGGTTCTTCTATTCACCCCTGTTTGCATACACCTCTTAACTTCTCATGCTATAAAAGGATAAGGGTTTAGGCCTAAGTCATATTTTCTATCTTATGTCACACTGAAAGATAATGGTAAAATTGAAAAACATCAAAGGTTATCTAGTCCTCTTAATCAGAATAAAACTGATATCTACAAGGTCATATGAATGATTATAGCACAGTCAGAACCCAAATGTTACATTCATGTAAGGGAATCTATTATATTATGCAATTCCTATTTCAGTCTGTTAATATACTGTAATGTTTCCTTAGGCAAATCAAAACTACTGCTGACCAAAACCTACTCTATTTTATGACCACAGTCCCAACTATATCTAATACAAGGATCCCTACAATTCCTTGCACTTTTCTCTCCTCCCAATAAAATGCTACTCAAAATGCACAATTTTTAATAGGGACTTTTATTTCACAGTCACAATAGTATCAACAGCCATTTAATAAAGATAGCCAACACTTATAGAATAAAATTGAATTAACTGAATTGATCCCCATAACAATTTCATGTGATAGGCAGTTTTTAATCACTGTTTTATAGATAAGGAAACAAGAACACAGGCAGGAACTTGCCCACAACCTCACAGCTAGTATCTGGGATTTGAATTCAGATAGTCAGGAGCGGTAGAGTCCATGGTCTCCTTCATCACACTTTTCAACTGAAATCCAGTGCTACGCATATATGAAATATTTTCATACAATCTAAAACTGATACAAATCAGAATATGATTTTTTAATAATTCCAGAGGCTGCAAGCTACTGCAATATACAATTAAGAACTAATATAATATGCAACTAAGTTGATCTTTTGTGTACTGACTTTTTCATTACCTGTATGTATTTGGACACAGACACATTTGTTTTGGGGCAGTATGTAGGGCTACGATTTTAAACAACTGGAAATAAGATACTTTCATAGTTATACTTTGCAATTAACAAAACATAGAGATGAAACAACATTACCTTAAAGAAAAAAGTATAAATCATTAAGTCTAATTTTAAATCAAGATGAATACATTTAACAGATCAAGCTATAAAGATTACCACTGGTGCTTCTCTACATATTCCTAACTGCTTTCCTCACCATGCTTTCACATTGACAGCCCCAAGTTGATATTCTCCAGTTATATGAATTCCATTATTCATTTACACAATATGGAAATGTCTCATATTACACAGAATATCTTATTTGAAGATACAACTTGGGGAGGAAGTACTGGGGATTGAACTCAGGACCTCCCTCATGCTTGCCAGGCAGGCGCTGTACCACTGAGCTAAACTTCCAGCCCTGCAGATACAAATGTTAAAGTACAAAATTTCCTAACATGTCTCCTGATAATTATATGTTGAACTGCTTACCATCTGGTTATAGCTAGTTTCATAGCCATTCAATATCTGTTGTTATACAAGTAGGTTATTTCTGCTTTAAGTCAATTACTGGCTGTGTACCGTGTTGCATGTCTGTCATTCCAGCACTCTGAGGCTGAGACAGGAGAATCATAAATGGAAGCTCAGCCTGGGCAACAACAACTTAAGAGACCCTGTCTCAAAAAATGGCTGAAGATGTAACTGAGTGCAAAAGCTTGACCTTCAATCCCAGTACCACCAAAAGAAAAAAAAAGTCATTGCTTCTGTAACTGCTGCTAGTTGTTAATTTTTGATTGTGCTAATTTCCTAGTAAACCATATACAACAGACAAATAACAAGCTGTTTTATTCAGCCTGACCTTAGTATATGCATTTTGCATTTTCGATTTGGGATTAGTGTTCTCAATATACAAAAATTACTTATTTCTTAAGGTTCACATACCACACGTCCTACTATTATGATCAAGATGTGAAATAATTTGTTCCACAATGAATGCAAAGTGATCATACTAAATTTATTTCTTCCCACAAACAAAAATTCTAACCATACCTTTTAATCAGCAATGTCATAAACTGGAGTATCTCAAAGTTATTACCTCTTTTCCTTCATTCTGCACTACTAATCTTTCTGAAACACTACTACACATCTTTTCAGAAATCTTTCATTTCCAATCCATTTTGTCAAGTCCAAATGGCAATGCAGTCAACTGCTTCTCAACAATGACATGCCTGAGTATCACCTACACTCGTAAGAGATCTCACCATGTACAACTTCTCATTTTTCTAACTCATAATACGCATTAATCATACTCTGAAAACAAACATATTATTCTCACTGCCCAAGTACCTAAAACATATAATAAGTCAAATTTTTAGTTCCTCACTACTGCTTTATTTTTCATTCTCAAGAAAGACTTCTGCTCCATCAGTTCAGCCTTAAGGCTCTAACAGTGATTAAGTTATTATAGATTCTGCCTTTGTTCAATTCCTACTATCTCTTACAATTCTTCTTAAAGCTATGATCATAATCTTTCTCTGTGTGTTTCCTGTGTTAGCTTTGCTTCACTACCTCAGGGCAAAGACTCTCTCATGAGACTTGTCCTCCAGTCACAGTCTCTTGTACATTGTAAGTATATATACTGGGCTGACTGTCAAAAATATGTACCTTCCTTCTCAATTTGCTTCCTTGCACTTTAAAATTTCACGCATCCCTTCTGTTTCAATTACCACATTATAAATGTGAAGGACTAGTTTTCAGGTGAAGCAATATTAGGTTTTGTTTAGAAGACTGCATTTTATGTATTTCTTTCAATGTTGTTTTTAAAAAATTAAATCTTGTTATGTAAGTTTTTTAGACAAAAATCAAGAGTTGGTGGTATTATAACATTTCACAATAATAAAATGGGAACTAAACAATTTTTGTTATGTAGCGATTAAACAAATTAAAATCAGTGGGGCTGGGGGTTTAGCTCAGTGGTATAGGTACCTGCTTGGCAAACGCGAGGTTGTGAGTTCGATCCCTGGCACCAAAAAAAATTTAAAGAAGAATTAAAATAAGGAGTCTCTATTTCAGACAGACCTATTTTGATGTTCAGACATCATGATTTACCAGCTATGTAACACTAGTTAACTCATTTAACATCTCTAAACCTCAATACCTTCATCTATAAAGTAAGGGCAGCAGTAACCAACCTCATGGAGTTGTTTTTTTACAAAATCCATGTACACTCAGTAAATATTACTATTATTCACAAAATTGGCCCATTGTTTTAAAAAAAACTCTGCAACTACTGAGCACAACTCTATCTCCTTGAAAGAGATTGCTCTTTTAGCAATAACCATACTAAACCAAAGTGTGACAATTTCTTCTATATGGAGTTACTCTAACTTCAAATAAAAATTCAGGTTAAAATTTCAGGTAGAAACTATGGATCAAAGCATGCTGACAAAAAACAAAAAACAACAAAAAAAAAACTTAACTCACATCTGAACCAGAAGCTTTCATCGTTGCATTCTGCAAACATTCTTCTTTCTTCCTCTGTCGGAATGTAATCAGCCCCTATGACTTTTCACCAAGGAAAATTGGAAAATATAAAATACCAAAAATAAAACCAAAACTGAAAAATTAGCTTAGTATAAATATTAACAAAAGATATCTAGCAAGTTTTTAAAAAATGAAGTAATGAAACAACTAGCTTGAAAACTTGGAGCAAACTTTTTTTTTTTGGTACTGGTGACCCAACTTATGACCTCATGCTTGCCAGGCCAACGCTGTACCACTAAACTATATTCCCAGCACTTATAGCAAACTTTGACTTCAAACAGAATTTAGTAGTACTACCTGCTAGTCAGAATTGGCTACATAATATACTCGATCACATTCAAAATTAAAATGCAGGACCTTTTACTGAAATTACTGAGAATTTCAAGATGGCACCCACAGAACATTAAATCAACTCTGGAGCCCCTTGTGACCGCCTCATGAAGCCAGCCCAGCTGTACAATTTACTCAGGCAATGAAATTTCCTTTATACAGAAAATGCTTCTAATTATAAATATATAATATGATAGTTACGGGGAATTGGTCTTGGAACTTCTGCATTCGGCTCTCGAAAATCAGCCCGCCCATTCATCTTTCCTGTATCAAAAACATTTACAGTAGGTATTAGGCATCATCATGAGAGTTTGAATTACTGGTCTACATGGCAATTAAAAATATTTACTAAACAATTACTATATCTAAAGCAGTTCACATTAAAATAAACCTAATTAATTTCAACTGACTATTCAAGGTTGGTCCCTTAGGTGAAAACAAATGGAAAAAATGAGGCTTTATTATCAGTATTTATCAGTTGATGAATATGACTAAAATATTAAAAGATATCAATAAAACTGACATTTTTCCTCTTGAAACTGGCTTATTTCACGTTATCCTATGTTTTGGTCCTTTCAGAAATCTATCTTAAATGATTTGTGTTAATTCCCCCCAAAAGAAAAAAATCCCTTTTCAGTTTCGCAACCTCTCCTATAAAGCAGTACTAGAAGAAAAAAAAAAAAAAAATCGAAAACGTCATAACCTTCAGGGATCTAAATTCTACAGCACTTTATCTTCCAAGCTTTCCTCCCCACGCTCAAATAACCTTCAAATTACTTTTGTACAAATATATGAGACTAAACAAGCCCAGCACTCCAAAAATACACCTTTTGGTTTTTTCAATTAGTTGGGTTTTTAAAACTCGTATCTCAGAATTTAAGAGATCAGTATCACTGATAACTGTGTTTTAAAGTTCATTATCAGATCATGATTTTCATTTTTAAGAAATTTACACAGAAACAGAAAATGCTATACACAAAGGCTTACTACATGTCAATCCCTTAATGAAAAGAAATAGGGCACATTGAATTCATGGATGAAGGCGTAAACACTTATCTTTTAAAACCATATTAGATATGAGCCCCTCTCTTTTCTATCAACAGCATCTTCCCTACAGTCAAGGCTGACAAGGCCTCTCAGCACCATTTTAAGCTTGCCATTCCTAAGACAAACCCTGAAATGAACTCTGACTGGCCTGTAACTGTCAGCTCCCGCACTCTACCCACCACCCATCCATCAAAACGGTCTCCCACCTGCCTCTAGGGAGCTAGCTACACCCCAACACGCGTCAGTCGCCACGAATTTCTCCCACCCGCACGTCCCAAAAACAATCCCTCGCCTTCCGCGGCCACCAGCTCAAAAGCACGAGATCTAGAGCGCGATAAGACCACCTCCGTGGACAGGAAAATGGCGGAAGGGGCAAAACAGTGGACACCCGCGCCAAGGTGGTGAGTGGATAGGTGGAGGCAGAGGCAAAACCGGGCTCTCTATGCCACCTCACCCACCTCCCAAATGCAGCTGCGGGCCACGGTGCGGCGATCCCAAGTGATCGGGGGCAGAAGCTGGGAGAATAACCTGGAGGGGACAGGGAAGGAGGATCGCGAGCGGAACTGCGGCAAGAGGGAGGGGGTGGACCGCGCCGCTGCCGCCTAGAAGTCACCCAGATAACTGGCTCAAAGTGACCGCAACCCGGAAGCACTAACTACCCGACGCCGGAAATTGCGTCATTCCTCCGTGTGGCGTTGACCACCCAGCAGGTTTGAACTAGATGCCTGCAGTGCGCCTGCGCCTGTTGGGTTCCGCCCTCCCGTTTTCTTGCCGGCCCGGGGCGCTCGCGAGCTGTAGTGCGTCTGCGCTGGTGGCCTCCGCTTGGCGAGAACCAGGCTCCGCCCCTTTTGGGACCTTGGGGGCAGTTGTGCGTTCCTGTGACTGACCGGGCTGGTCGTCTCGTGACCGGGTGACAGGGTGACAGGGACGTTCTAGGAGTCTCGTTTATCCTCGCGTTCGAAGTTACCAAAATTTGTTGCAGTTCCCTGCTTGTAGGCTTTACGTAATCATGACACTAGGTGAGCCTCCGTCCGGGCTAAGCAGTTTAAGTTTTAAGCAGGAGTCCTTGGCTGTCGGACCATCCAGTTTAGTTTCGGACCTGTTGTAGACCCTCAGGCAGTGTGCATGGCTCCTCTGTTGCCTCCGAGTTTGCCTCTCTGAATAACAGAAATAGGGCTAGGCGGGATTAAAACAATCAGTACTCAGTTTCAAGTAAAGGGAGCGTACGTTTGCAGGGCTCCTGATACACTGCTACTTTAACTCACTGTAGGGGTGTGTGTGTATTGCTAGGGGTTGAACTCAGGGCCTTTGAACTGATTTATGGTCCCAACCCTTTTATAAATGTTTTATTTTGAGACAGAGTCTCACTAAATTGCCCGAGCTAGGCCTAAATTTTGCGATCAGAGGTGTCTGCCACCCTGCTGTGCCATTCATTCATTCATTATCTTTCATTCACTCCACAGTGTCTATTGAGTGCCTGCTCTGAACAAGATACTGTGATTTGCTGGTGAACAGTCTCAATCCTAAACTGGCTCATGGTCCTCCTAGACATCTGTCAGGTTTCTCATCTCTTTCTGAGTTCCTTTTGCCGTTGTACACATTTCTTATTTTTCACTGACTCTTGAACTGCTCCCGACTTAGTCTGTTGCAAACATATTTAAGGCAGTCATCTAAAAAATAAATTCAACCTTGTGTTTTCTTCCTTAGAGCGTTTGCTACTTCCTAGCATACACAGAATCATGGCTTAATCCTGAACCTGTGAGCCTCACACAAATAGGAAGCATAGCCAATAGGTGCACATCTGAAATTCCAGCACTTGGGAGTTAGAAGGATCACAAATTAGAGGGCAGCCTAGGCAATTTAGAAAAAGAGAAAGAAGAAAGGAAGAATTAAAAGTTCTAGATGACCTTTATGCTAATACAAAGCCTACATTTTTTTTCTTTCTGACTAGACTGTGAGATTCCAGAATCCAGTTTTACCATTTTCTTTGTATTGCTGAGCAAGGTGCTTAGCACATTGTATATTGATAAGTATATATTCTGGTTGCCCATCAATTTCCAAGCAGTTAATAAATTGGCCTGGTTAATGGGTCTGTGAGAAAAACTAAAATCATAAAACATTCAAGGCAGCCAGTGGTGGAGCACACCTTTAAATTTAGTACTCTTGGAGGCTGAGGCAGAAAGATAAGTTTCAGGCCAACCTGGGCAATTTAGCAAGATTATGCCTTGAAAAAAACAGTTTTGTTGTTTTTTTAAGGGATGGGGATGTAGCTCAGTGCAAAGATCCTAGGTTCAATTTTCTGCACTGTAAATAAATAAAATTATTCAAGGCATCTTGTTATTTTTTTCCTTTTTTTCATTTTTCGAAATAAAAGTATTCTTCAAGGGAAATTGTCATTATATGTTTCTACTGACATGTAAAGATTTTTGGGCCCTTTGATATTTTGGCAGTAAAGCAAAGGATTTATACATAAATTGGGTAAGATCCAAAGTCTTCCCAGAAGTTGATTCATATTTGATAGAGGAAGATTTTAGGATTTTTTAGTACATAATGTGCATAATGTTTGTAATACAAATGTGTACATTCTTTGCATGGAGTTAGATATAGTAATATATCCTAATTCCTTTTTAAAATCTCCTTTTTCTTCCCGCAAATCTCTTGATCCATTTCCCTTTTGCGTGAGATTACTTGTAATCAGTCTTCCTGGATTAAATTAAATCAATACTTCCAAATACCTCCCCCATTAAGAGCCAGTGCAATCACCATAAAATGGTTTTCTCCTAAGACTTGAGTGTGTGTGTGTGTGTGTGTGTGTGTGTGTGTGTGTGTGTGACAGAATCCCACTATGCTTGTTGTTCAGGCTAGCTTTGAATTTGTTATATAGTCCTTGCTGGCCTCGAACTCAGGGTGATCCTCCTACATCAGTTGTGATTACAGGAGGTGAGATATATATATATTTGTCTTTTTCTTTTTTACCGGTACCAGGGATCGAACTCACGATCTCACACTCACCACGCAGGCACTTACGCTGTTGAGCTAAATCCCTGGCCCTTGGGAGGTGATTTTATAAAAAATTAATCATAAAGGAATAGCTTAGAGTACTCGGTAATTTATATACATTAAGCCAAAGTGATAAATTCCTTCTTCTTTTTTTTTTTTTTTTTAATTCGGTACCGGGGATCAAACTCACAACTGCCTGTTTGCAGTTTTTGGGGTCTTCTATATAGACTATCATGTCATGTGCAAATAGTGATAATTTAACTTCTTCCTTTCCTATTTTTATTCCTTTCATTTCTCCTGTCTGATTGCTCTGGCTAATATTTCCAGAACTATATTGAATAGGAGTGGTGATAGTGGACATCCTTGTCTTGTTCCTGATTTTATTTTATTTCATTTTTATCGATACCAGGGATCGAACTCATGACTGCCTGCTTGCAAGGCAGGCGCTTATGCCGCTGAGCTAAATTCCCAGCCCTTGTTCCTGATTTTAGAGTGAAAACTTTCAGTTTTTGTCCACTTAGTATAATGTTGGCTGTTGGTTTGTCATAGAGGGTCCCATAAATTCTATATGAAGTAACTCTGCAATACTTTTTCCAGCCCAGAGTCCTGAGTATCAATTAACATTCTACTTTCTTCTGCTATAACTTCAGTGTTGTTTTTTCCCGTAACTGCATCCGTATTTGCAGCACTTGTACATTGCTGGCTCCTACTCTTGCTTTCAGGAATTCAATTGCTATCCTTTTGTCTCTGTGTCCACGTGCCTGGCGTGCGTGTGTGAACCAGTGTCCAAGTGACACCTTGTATCAAGTGTTGGGCTTCCCTTATAGAATCTGACAGCCTACCATGATCCCTACTGACTGCCTGAACTGTTCTAATTACATCAGCATCATGAACTTCAGACTCGACTCTAGTCTCTGGTTCGACGTACTCAAATTTTAAGATACTACTAGGAAGTTTCCTATCATTCAACAGTTATTTAATCAAAATGAGCAGTTATTATCTTTTATTATTTTCCCTTGTATTTTTGTTTTTAAATTGTAAATTGGCACAGTGGTTTAGAATTTTTAAGCAGAAAGGAGAGAAATATGATCATAATAAGGACTGACCCATTCTTTCTAACAGGATGTTAGATTATAATGAAAGGTACAGAATACAGAATACACTTCATACACATGTGAAAGACAAGGCAGTTCAAGATATTGGCAAAAGAATGTTTACATTTATGGCAGTGAAATGGAAGCTGGGTAGGGAAGAAGTGGATGATCAGATGGCAATAAAGCTAAGTTACCATGATGTTAATAAATGAGTGTATATGCAAATATCTATGTGAGAGAACTGGAAGAATATGATGGCTAGAGATGGTGAAATGAAAATACCTTTCTTTTGTTTTTTTGTTCTGGGGAAGAAACTCAAACCTTGTGTTTGCCAGGCAAGTGCTGCTGAGCTAAATCCCCAGCCCTGAATTTTAAATATTTTATATTCAGTAGATTTACACCATGACCACAAAAGGCGTTGGCATCATAAAGCAGAAGTGACAGAAGAGCAGGGAAACAAAATTGGGTTGCTGGAGGTTCTCCAACTGCATTTCCACCCAATCATTAGAATAGGAATTTGAAGATTTTACAAGAGATGAAACTGCTCTTTTTGACAATGAAAAGAGATAAACAATGGGGAGACTGCAGTCCACATTGTCAGAACCCAGTTAGCTCGTGAGTCTCATGAACGAAGTCTAAATGTTTTCACTTGTTCAGATCATTATAGTTTTCACTTTTGTCTAAGAACAGTACTTCTTAAAGACCCCCCGCCCCAAAAGCAGGCTTTGCAGGAGAATGAGTTTTCTAATAGACTTTATAGGTCAACCCAAATAAGCATAATTGCATGCAAATAATGTTTCTAGACAATTATCTTCAGCTCTCCTTGCAAACACATTTTCCATCTCTGAGTCTTTTCTACAGAGAAATCTTACATCTACTACGATGTGAGTTTCTTCTATAGATAATTTAAGGGGACTTTAGAAATCCTGGAATCCTAAAATGTATCTGTACTTAGGTTTGGATATATTTTCTTGGGGCACATTTTGTGCTTGACTTCCTTCTCTAGCAGAAGGGATGAAAAGTACATAAATAAAATTAGTGGTCCATGTATGAGACAAAAGAAAAAGTTAATATCTGAGTTTGCAAATCATGTGATGTCGTTATAAGTAAGCACCTGGCACAGGGTCTGGCATTAGTTTGCATGCAGTAAATATGAGTTCTTTTTTTAAAAAAAAATCTTTTTTTTTTTTTTTTTTGTGGCTCAAGTACTTGCCTGGTAAGTGCAAGGTCATGAGTTCAATCTCTGCACCAAAAAATAAACAAATAAAATACTAGAAAACAAATTGAAAAAAAAATGTACAACAAGAAATAAACAGACCAGTGATTTAACCTAGGCTGTTAAAATAGAACTATTCAAGGTAAAAGATTGCAAATAGTTTGTTCAGCTTTCTAATTAAAATGTAAAGCAAGCTGGAAGTAGTGGTATGTGTCTGTAATTCTAGCTATTCAGAAGGTTGGGGCAGGTGGATCACAACTTCAAGACCAGCTTGTGCAACTTAGCAAAGCCATTAAACAATGAAAAAAGCTAGTGATATAGCTCAATGGTAGAGAGCAACTGGGTTCAGTT